ATAAGTTTGCTAAAATCTTTAGCAATAAATAAAAGATTTTAGATTTTTTACAAATTTCTCCAAATTTTAAAGCAATGCCTCGTTTTCGTCTTTTATTGTGCCACAATGCACAATCGTTTTTTCTTATCTATAGACATTGGCTTATATTTTAGAAAATCTTCTCTTGCAACGCGCCTCAAAGAGTGCGACAGATCAAAGCCACGTGCGAAAAAAGAAAAATGATTTACATTACTTTAACGGATTGAAGAGTTGTTAACATGCTGGAATTAATATTATTGTTAACTCGAAGAGGTATTCATTAAACAAAAAAAAAAAAAAAAACCGTGCGATATAAAAGTTAAACAAAAACAAATTTTTATAATTCACATCTCAGTGTATACCTTTTAATTTCGGATAATTTTTTTAATAAATAAATGGTAAAATTATTTTAACACAATTGAGCGAAATTACTGTATGTAAAAAATAACAAAATGAATTAAAATCACTAAATAGTAGAAAAAGCTTTCAATGTATTTCTATTTTTATTGTAAGAAAAATAAATGCTCCTGTAGGCAAAAATTAAATATATTGTTCCCTTCTAGCATTTTTTAACATTTCTATTTCTTTTCTTAGATTTTTTCGGAAGAGACTGATTCAAATTTTTAAAGTGACTCCAGAGAGGTACGGGTTTAGCTTTTACCTGTACTTACATAAATTTTCTTTTGGTAAAAATAAAAAATAATCCGTAAACTTAGTGTTCTATGAACTCTTACATATATGCCAATCCTAGTATTACAGAACTGATTTACGTAAAAAAATAAGGTGTACAAATAGGTAAAATTTATTTATCCCTCGTAAAACATCAGTAAAATATATTATAAATTGTTTTCATTCACAAATATTAATTTCTTAAAAATCTAACAGAGGCGCCACTTCCCAGACGAAAAATCTTGCAATGTAAGGGTTTCGTAGTACCCCACTTTTAAAGTTTATTTTTGACTATTTTTAAAAGAAAAAAACATGTACGTGTAGGTAAAGGTTAAATCTATGCCCCACTGGAAAAAATTGAGAAAATGGGTAAAAAAAGTCGAGATTTGTATTTTTTTTTATAAAAAACTGAATCAAATTTTGAAAAAGTGTCTCCAGAGGAGCACAGATTTAACCTTTACCTATGCGTACATATTTTTTTCTTTCAGAAAAAGTCAAAAATAAACTTTAAAAGTGGGGTACTACGAAACCCTTGCATGCTCCGCGCTACAGCCAAGTAAATACTCCTCTTAATAATAATTTTTTTAAACTTATTACCGCTGAAAAACAGCAAAAAATTTATTTAGCGCGTAATCGGGCTTTCTCTTATACATTGAGTTGGAAATGAGATAGAAGTACTTTTCTCTAAAAGTACACGCGCGTAGGAAGCATATTGTTATAACGTAAAAAAAAACATAACAAAAAAAATTTTGAAAATTTATTTAGGTAATTTTGTTTATTATAGTTTGAATATTCGGTAAAAAATTTAAAATTATAGCATTTTAAATTTTAAGGTATATTATTTAATTCAAGAAAATTAGAATTTTCGTCAATTTTGGATTTTAAAAAATTCATAACAATTAAAGGGTTGAAGATACGATGATGGGCGTAAGGACTTTTTTTATTCGAAATATCCTAAAGAATACAAAAAAAAATTAATTCATTGCAAAAAATGCATTTTTTTTCTGGCTTAATTAATTTTTCGTTGTTTAAACAATAACATCAACAGATATCGAGTGTCATCTTACACTTTTATAATCAGGAAAGTCTTCCGGACATTTAAAAAAAAAATTACGAATTAAAACAATTTTGCAAACGAATGCGCCGGTATGTTCTGGTCTAAATTCTGTTATTCTTTTTATTTCTTTAAATTTTAGTCCTTTTTGACAATAGCTAATGCTAGATTATAATTTTTTATACAAATTTCCTGTAATTGTTCCATAGATTTCCAGTGTTCTGGAATCGCTAAGATTTTACATTCATGTTCATTTACAAAAACTTCTAGTTTGTCAACTGCATTTCCCAAAGACTACATTCTGGTGAAAAATGTTCGTTTCATCCACTTTACTTTTTTGTAACTTCGCTCCTTTGTTGCTTTTGTCCCCAATAGCTAGCTGTCTTTAAATGTTGTGCCTATAGAAAATCCGCTTGTCTATTATCTTGGTATTCTTTGAATTTCGGAAAATCAAATCTTTTAAAACCAACACTTTTCGGCCATGCTGTTGGTTTGTAATTTCTTCTTTAAAGCTGAAATCGATACCAAACATGAAATATTTTGTTTGGTTCTCCTTAGTTGGTAATTATTTGATCTCTATATTTGCCTCTTTGAAATGTATTTGATTCTTTATGTAATTTTTTATGTCATCTTCTGTAATATTTCTTTTAATTCTAAATAAATACAGCTATACCTTTTTCTTCCTTCTCTAACTAGTTTTTCCTTTTAATTTCGTCTTCTAAATTTCTTGTTGGTCACTATTTCGTATCCTTCATCTTTCCTGTCTGATTCTAAGTCATCATTAATATTTAGAACTGCCTTTGCCTTCTTCCTTTGTTCCTCTTCTAAATTTGGTTTTCTTTTATTATTGGATTTACCACTGTTGAATTGCCCTGTATTTTGCCGTTATTTGGTTGTTTCCTGACCTAGGTTGTTCTGTGTTTATCTTTACTTTATCGGCATGGTTTTTGTTTGGTAGATAATGTGTTTGTGTTTCGTTTTCTTGTAATCTATCAACCTTTTCTTGTAATAATTGTTTGTTTTCTTGTAGTAGACTAATATTGTTTTCTAAAATTCTTTGTTTGCTTTCTGCCTCGAATAAGAGTTTCTTTAGCATATTATTCCCATACTAATTTCTGAATTTTGTAATAAATTACCTTGATTTAAGAGGTCGATTCTGATGCTTGGACTTAACAAATCATCCGTTTATATCCAATAACATTTGATATTCACAACAAATTTTACGTTTCGAACAAATGAAAAACCGCATCACATGAGGTACATTTTGTTATTTTATTTACTTTTTTCCGCAATAATTGCACGATTTATGTGCAGCTCTTAACGATTCGCCCGACTCGTACATGTTCACTAGCTCGATAGGTAGTATTTTGAAATATTCCACACACTACTCCAGTTTTAGTTATTTCGTTTTTTTTTTTTTTTTCTTGAAGTGACACTTTTGTTTTAAATATAATTTCTAATAGTTTTGGTAATTCTGATAAGTAAACGAAATTCCTCGTTTACAAATGTTTTTTTTATTATATTTTTAATTTTTAGGCTATATAGAAATTTGTTTTTAAAACAAAATATATCTTGTTAATAAATATTAGATAAATAAAATAAAAAAGTGTGTTTAGTTGAACTTCCAAGACGATAGGTTTGAGACCGGAATACTACAAATCCGCAGAAGCATCGGCTGCGGTCTGAAGGATTTGTCAATGCGATCGGCAGTGTTCTCGAAAGGGTTGAGTAAATTCCGAATTAAAACCATAAACAAGACTCTCCCATAATTTGGCAACTACCTGGATAACACCGCAAATGCTTGCAATTCGATTGTTGTAAACAAAATTGGTCTAATAGTTGTTCGTCGTTAATATTCATTGTTTTTGGTCTGTTTTATTTACTTATATACACATTATTCCTTTGACAATAAAGCATCAAAAGTTGTGTTGTTGTGTGAGAGATATGGCTTCGGACGGTGTCTATTTGCCACAGAATGTTTAAATAATAAAAACGGAATACAGAAAAGAAAGAAATAAGAGAAGTACTCTCTCAAATATCTAGCTTAGTATCACGTATAAATTTAATTAAATTTAATCAAAAGTTGTGGTTAGTCTGGAAATCTTTTCTAGTTAGATGTATCAGGAAATCAAGCTATAGTCTATTTGAAGAACAAGAAGGAATAAACCATGGACGTACCTATTTTTGTAATTATTTAAATTGAATTAATAATATAGTTCTCTTATTTATTTACAGATCTCCAATTTTACATAATTGAATATAATTTGTTGTTATTGTATATATTAATTTCTTTGGTGACAGAAGCCGATAGTTACATTTATTTTGGGCCATACTTGTGACTTTTTATTTATTTCAGAAATAGTTTTTTTTAAACTTTGTTCTTTTAAAAATCTCTGATTTTCATGAAAAATGTACCTATCTTTCTCACTCTCTGAGGAATCGTCAACCAATTCTAGAAAAATTACGATCCCATCGTAATTTTTCTAATTATATCGCGCATTTTTTATATGAAAAACCGTATTATTCCTATTCATATTGTACAGATCCGGCTCGTCCGTAGCTAATTAAATTGTTCGCACACAAACTTTATTATTGCATTTATTGCTGATAAATTTAGTAGGAGTTAAATAAAATTACTGAATAAGTATATAGAAATACTAATTTGCAGATGAATCCTGCTACTTCGCAGGGAGGGCGGCGCCCCCAGCCGCCAGTTTAACCTAGTTTATATAAAATAATTAGGTCTATAAATATGTAATAGTTTATATTTTAATAACTGTTTTTCTACATAGTATCAATCAAATATCAATTTACATTTGGGCCTTCTCCACTAAAAGGCTATTGAACAAAAAGTATTTATTTCTATTAACATAAGACACTAAAATGGATTAGGTTCATTGTTATAACAGTAGAAGTCACCAAAATATTCTATACCTACTCCTGAAAATATAGTAAGTTTTATCTTGAAATAGATGAATACAATGTAAAATAATTTTTAAATTAAGATTTACTGCATGTACTATTATTACATTTCTGACAACATACTCCTTCTTGTTCTTTAAATAGACTTATAGTACAGGATGAGATTATATTCTAAAGTAATCTGATCAATTAATTACCTTGCTGTTCCTTCCTCATCTAAAATCAAGATTTACTGCATGTACTATTATTACATTTCTGACAACATACTCCTTCTTGTTCTTTAAATAGACTCATAGTACAGGATAAGTTTATATTCCAAATCTAATCAATTAATTACCTTGCTCTTCCTTCCTCATCTAATGTTTCCTCGTCATCTATTTCATCCTCATATGTTTCAGGATCAAAAGGCCTCGTCTCTACAGATAAGAAATTGGGTAATTTAACAAAATGAATATCTTTTCCCAAATCACAGCTTATTTTTGGAACCTCTACATCAATTCTAGTCTCTGGTATTGGTTCTGGTTCATTTTCTTTATCTTCATCCTATAACCAAAATTACTATGAAGTAGAAAAATTAAATAAATAACTGATTTTCCTACATCTGCAATTGCTGGTCTCTGTTCTCTTTCATCTCCAGACCTTGACCTGGATCGTGACCTTGACCTAGATCTAGAGCGCCTTTCATCATCAGAGCGAGATCTACGCCCACCCCTATCTGAATCAGCTTTATCTTTTTCTTCTTCACTACTAATATCATCAGCATCACCAAAAATATCAATAGCATCCACTAAAAAAGACATTATCATTTTCTAAAATACTAAGGGGCACAATTTAATTGATCCTGTATCCTGTTTATTCACCTTTTTCTTTTTCTCCTCCACCTTCGTCATCTTCACTATCTGAAACAATAGCTTTTCTTTTTTTTGTACTAACTGGTTCTTCTGAGCTGTCCCTTTGTCTCTTTTCTCCAGTTTGATTTTCTTCATCAATTTGCAAATTAGGACTATTAGACCCACTGCGAACTTCCACCCTAGTCCTAGATCTAAAAAGGTAACTGATAAAAATAAATCAATTTCTAAAATATCTTTACCTAGATCGAGATTTACTAGCACGTCTAGAAGATGGTGACCCAGATTTTGATCTTCTAGAACCTGATCGTGATCTTCTAGATGCTGCAGAACCTGATCTTGATCTCCTAGAATCACCAGATCCCGACCTTTTAGAAGCATTCGATCCAGATCTAGATCTATTGGAAGTAATGGAACCGGATCTCTTGGATACATTAGATCCAGATCTGGATCTCTTGGATGTATTAGAACCAGACCTTGATCTCTTGGATGCATTAGAACCAGATCTTGATCTCTTAGATGCATTAGAAACAGATCTTGATCTTTTAGATGCATTAGAACCTGATCGTGACCTCTTGGAAGCATTTGAACCAGATCTAGATCTTCCAGAAATGTTTGAACCAGACCTGGATCTTTTTGAAGTATTGGACCCTGATTTGTTAGAAGCATTTGAAGCTGATCTTGATTTATTTGATGCCGCTGAAGCACCTCTTTTAGAATCACCAGATCCTGATCTTTTTGATGCTGCTGATCCAGAATGGTGAGAAGCTGCTGATCCTGAACGGTGAGAGGCTGCTGATCCTGACCTAGATCTAGATTTTCCTGAACCTATGACAACATTGAAAATGTAGTACCTATTTAGAAACTTAAAAAAAAATTTACTCACATCAGGCATTTGCTTTTTATAAATAAGTGAATATTTTCTTTTAGTAATATGATTTTAAATGATTAACTGTATTTTTCTTTTTAAGAATAGGTATATTGTGAATGTATTTTATTGTCTCAAAAATATGTAAACATTTATAAGTTATAGGCATATTTTTTAAAATCATAGAGGGCATCCATCTGCTTGAATGTGGTCATATTTATAAATTAAAATAAAACTACTCAAAATTAAGATGGCATTAGAGCTAAAACCAGTAACCTATTTTTTACTTTTAAAACATTAAAAAAAACATTTTGTGGTACTGATTTTGAAGTTTTATTTTTGTTTATATTTTTTTAATCTTATTTATATTGCGATTTCTAATTTATTTATATCTGGGTAGCCAAGGCCATGAATTAAAAAATATATATCTATCTATACTGACAAATATTATGCTTACCAGCTGATTTATTAGAACCAGAAGAGTCTGATCTTTTAGATGCAACAGATCCTGACCTTTTTGATGCAGCAGATCCTGATCTCTTTGATGCAGCAGATCCTGATCTCTTTGATGCAGCCGATTCTGATCTCTTTGATGCAGCAGATTCTGATATTTTAGATGCTACAGATCCTGATCTTTTTGATGTAGCAGATCCTGATCTTTTTGATGCAGCAGATTCTGATCGTTTTGATGCAACAGATCCAGATCTTTTAGAACCAGTGGAAGCTGATCGTGACCTATCTGATATTGATTTATTAGAAGCTGGTGATCCAGATCCATGTGAACCTGATCCATGCCTCTTAGAAGCTTGTGATTCTGACCTTCTAGAAACATGAGAGCCTGACCTTCTTGAAATGTGGGAGCCTGACCTTCTAGAAACGTGAGATCCTGATCTTCTAGATGTTTGGGAACCTGATCTTCTAGAGGTTGGAGAACCAGATCTTCTAGAATCTCCAGATCCAGACCTATGAGACTTTGGTGTATCCCTTGCACGAGAAGTAGGAGATCCTGATCTAGACCTACTTCTAGAGTCTCTTGATTGACTTACATCTCTAGATTTGTTATTATAAGCTGGAGAATTTGAGGGAGATCTATCCAAGCCATGGCCAGGTGTAGGAGCAGGTCCTCTATTTGGACTAATACTATGGTCCGTCTCATTATCTGAACCGGAATCCGAAGACATGTCTTTTATTTATGGTACAATTAGAAGAGTTTTTGTGTATTTAAAAATTATGATCACATCATTTTCATTAATCATTAATATATTAACAGCAACAGCACAGAACAATATACACTAACCACTTTCTTCTTCTTTTTCAATATTTAACATTTGTGTTTATGCTACTTATGCATAGATCACATGTCATATTTGACATAAGTTTCTTTCGTTCGCTGTTGGTGCAGTGTACACCAGTGTAAATTACACCAGTTACACCACTTTTGGTTTTTTCGTTCGTCCCACGGCTATATCAAGCTAGCGGGCACTCTGTGGCGGCACCATACAAGACGTGGTGGGTTTTTTGTAGCTTTTTTGTAGCTTTTTTGTTACGCTATTTGCGAATTTGTAGCTTTGCCCAGGTCCGAAAAAACAGCGGATCCGCTAGCTTGAATTTCCATAAATTCCATAGTAGCGGCACAGATTCAGACCTAGCTGGTTTTTCGTAACTTTTTTGTAGCTTTTTTGTTACGCTATTCTCCCTTTTGTAGCTTGTACTGAACCTGAGAAAAGCGCGGATCCGCTAGCTTAGCGAATATTTGTAGCGGCACCAGCTCGGACCAGGCTCATTTTTTGTAACTTTTTTGTTACGCCTGTCTCCATTTGGTTGCGAGGCCTCAATGTGAGTAATAATCGTTTCTCCATGAGCGTGAAAGAAAAGTGCGTTAATTTAAAATCAAGTTTCGGCATCTACAAGTAATATGTGCAACTCGATAGTGTGACTGACTATCTGTTGATAGATGGCACCAGTATTGCATTTCACGAATTATGGCCATCTTCCATCCAATATATTTATATTTTGTGCTCGCTTATATTAGCTCGTTCATGCCTCAAATATACGTCAAAAGATGTCCCCCAAAGAAAATCATCAGACGTGTTTCGGGAAATTTTTTCAATTACTATGTGATAAGAACTATACGGGGTGGCTCGTCTGAGATGGAACACCCTGTATATAGTGAGAATAGGTAATTGCTTGGTAGCTATTACCACCGATGTGAAGTTAGCAGTAAGTTTTTAGCAGTAAAAATAACCGAAAACGCCCGATCGGGAAAATAGTGGCGTCCGGCATACAACTATTTTAATAGTCTTGTCAATATGTATTTTACATTAATATCGGACAAATAATTAATATACATACCGTTGAAAATGTCCGATTTTAAGATTATATCTAAATTTCTCAAAAATATATTGGATGGAAGATGGCCATAATTCGTGAAATGCAATAATTGTGCCATCTAGCAACAGATAGTCACACTATCGAGTTGTACATATTACTTGTAGAGGCCGAAACTTGATTTTAAATTAACGCACTTTTCTCTCACGCTCATGGAGAAACGATTATTACTCACGTTCAGGCCTCGCAACGAAATCGAGACAGGCGTAACAAAAAAGCTACAAAAAAGCTACAAAAAAGTTACAAAAAATGAGCCGGGTCAGGGCTGGTGCCGCTACAAATATCCGCTAAGCTAGCGGATCCGCGCTTTTCTCAGGTTCAGTACAAGCTACAAAAGGGAGACTAGCGTAACAAAAAAGCTACAAAAAAGTTACGAAAAACCAGCTGGGTCTGAATCTGTGCCGCTACTATGAAATTTATGGAAATTCAAGCTAGCGGATCCGCTGTGTTTTCGGACCTGGGCAAAGCTACAAATTCGCAAATAGTGTAACAAAAAAGCTACAAAAAAGCTACAAAAAACCCGCCAGGTCTTGAATGGTGCCGCCACAGAGTGCCCGCTAGCTTGATATAGCTTCGTCCCACTGGTGTAGGAATGAACTACACCAACGCACACTAAAACTTTCGTTTTGCCCGGTGTAAAACCCTTCCTGTCGGCGATGTTGTGTCCACTGGTAGATATTTTCTCTATCAGTTATTTAGCAGGAGTGAATTACACTCGACATGTATATAATAGGCGAGTTCGGATAGTCAGGGGCTGGAGCGGGACAAAAGCGGAGTTTTTTAGGGTGCTTTTAAATGACATTTAAGCGTGTTAAACTGTCACTAATCAGACTAAACCGAACGCTAAAAGGGTTGTTTGGAGTTATAAGTGGGAAAGGAGTTAAAGGAAATTGGCAGACCGAACGCAATGAAGGAATAAGGAGGAAGTAAATTAGGGTAAATAAGGTGGTGTAACCACAAAGGGTGTAACTGGTGTAATTTACACTGGTGGACACTGCGCCAACAGCGAATGACTGGGCCAAACGAAAGGTTTGGTGTAGTTCATTTCTGCATCAATGGGACGAACGCAAGAACCTACCGTTGTGTTAAACGACGTTTAAATTACTAAACGAAGATTAAAATGACATGTTTACATTAACAATGTAATTTTAATCTTCGTTTAGTAATTTAAACTTCGTTTAACACAACGGTGGAATCGGCCGTGTGAAATGAGAACTCTGGATAGCGACTTGTCTCTAATTGCTGTCAAAATGAGATCACTCTTTGCTCGGAGTATAATATCCGAACTGGCTTGACTTAAAGGTCAAGTGTCAATGTCATCCTTTTTATTTTTGACAACAGTAAATATTTGTGATAGGTTATGTGAAGTGGCAAATTGCCATTGATTGTGATTTGTGATAGATAGTTATGGAATACTGTAGAGTGAAGTTCCGAGTAATTCGCACAAATAAAACAAATGTTTACAATATCGGTATCTATTAGAATGACCAATAGGTGATATTTTGTAATACGTAAAAAGAAGTCTAAAAATTGTTTTTATAATGGCTCTCCCTTACAGTAGTGAAGCAATATTGGATTGGACTGTCCAAGACACTAAATTTTATTTGAAAAAGGAAGGTGTTTCCGATTCCGCATTACATGCGTTATGTGATGTAAATTTGGTGGATGGGAAGTGCTTATTAGTTTTAAATGAAACTGACTTTCAAACTGAACCTATAAGTAAATTAACTCTAAAAGATAGGAAGTGCCTTTATGTCTTTTGCAAATTAATACAACGAGAGAATCAACACACTCTCGTGGAACTTGGTGTTTCTGAACAACCCTTATACAGCCAACACAAATATAGCAAAGTAGATAGTGATTATGGTGGTGACTCAGAAAGAATCTCACCAGACGTATCGGAAGATGGCAGACCATTATATCCACCAGAGAAGAGTAAAGCTCTATTAGCTCTCATGTATGTTGTTGCAGTAACCTGGATAACTGCTTTTGTTATGGTTATAGTTCATGATAGGGTACCTGATATGCAACGATATCCACCTCTTCCTGATATATTTTTAGATAATGTTCCATTAATACCATGGGCCTTCGATATGTGTGAAGTTACTGGAACAATTTTATTTACCATGTGGCTAATTTTACTACTTTTTCATAAACATAGGTATGTAAATAAGTATTTGGTTATTAAAAGTATTTTAATGTTTAAATAGTGTTCAGATATAAAGTTAGGTAATCTTGTAGTTTAGGCGGGTATAAATACCCTTAAATACCAAAAGTTACTAAGTATTTTTCATTTAAAAATAATATAGTTTTATTTTTATATTCTTTTGAGGTTCTATTCATTCTATTTACACAACAAATACTTTTTAAATTTATATGTAGATAAAGTAAACAAGTATTATAAGTAATTTTAAAAAACTGACTTCAAAATCATGGTTATTTATGATTAATCAAGTAGCAAATTTAAATTTATGTATGTAATAAAAACACAATTCTTTCTTGAAAGGTTTAGTTCCCTTTCTTGGAAGAATTACTTTATAGATTTGGTGTGTAATTTTTACTTAATATATTTTTTTGTCAAAATACAAAATTTGTAATAAAAAACAAAAGAACAAAATTATTGGTACTTTTCCAACAACAGTTTTTTAAATATGAACACTAATAGGTACATCAGGTAATAATCAAAATTGTACAATATACATATTTACAAAGATTGCAACTGGGGAGATATTTTCACAAACAGCCATCTTGAATTTTTCTTTAAAATGTTAATGTTTTTCTTGATTTTTTTTTACCTATAAAAGTTGTATTAATGAATAAGTAGGTAAGGTATATATATAATTCAATATCATTATGCCTCATTGTTTTTTAAATCTAAGGATGAAAGTCCAAGTACATGAACTTTAGAAGTTAATTAACAATATTTAGATATGTAATATTTAAGTTTACATATATTTTGGATTACCAACTGAATTAAGTACCTGCTGTTTTTTTTTAGAATGTCTTGATGACAAGTTATTAAATCTTAAAAAATAACCATATTTATTTTATTAATTAGCAATAGATGTTAAAAGAATGTAAAAATTTTAATTTGGTGTTATCGAGATTAAAATATTTATTTTTGCATCCTTGAACATTGAATTAACTACATTTAAAAATGTATTTAAATTAGTTTAAACAGAGATATGTTGATTTCCATAATATTGACATAAAGTCGTTTCAATAAAAAATCTGTAACCTAATTGGAGGCAAGAATTAACAAATCCAATACATACCACCTGCATCACTGTTTCTGTCTGTCTAAGCAAAACTAAAACATCCCAAAGTTGGAATTATCAAGAATAAATCATTTTATAATTAAAGTTTAGTGGTCTATATTTACTTCTATCTAAATAAAATCTTAGAAAAGGAGAGCATTTTATCCTGTACCTATTATAAATTGTATTTTCATATTATTGGCCAAGCGTTCTAGGGTTATTCTATGGCCATTCATTATACCGGGTGTTCAAATTAAAGTGTTACAGTTAAATACCGCCGAAAATATGTATTTTAGAAAAAAAAGTTTCAGATAAAAATTTTATAGTTTTTTGGGGGAAACATTTTGGCCAAATTCATTTTTTTATAGCTGACCATAATATGGCCATATCGAGGTGGACTTTGTTTTTTTAAATGGGAATCCCATTTTTTTTACATATTCTTAAAGTACATAAAAAAAATAAGAAACTTCTGATGAAAATATTTTTTTTATTGGACTTTACTTTTTGAGTAACAGCTACTTGAAAATTTTGCTAGACGAAAAAAAAGTTGACCATATTATGGTTAGCTATAAAAAACGATTTTAGCAAAAAAAAATTCCCTACAAAACTATAAAACTTTCATCTGAAACGTTTTTTTTTTATAAAAGGCGGTATATAGCTGTAACACTTTAATTTGAACACCCGGTATATAATGGAAGACTCTGTATATAAGTTCCACAAATAAATCAGAGAGCTTCTTTATGGCGAAAATCTTACAATAAATAATTTAAATGCACATCTGTAATTTCATAAACCACTGGAGATAGGGTCCAGTTTCCAATTTATTTGAAGAACACTGAATAGATCAATTTTTTTTTGGGCTGAGGTTTCTTTATTAAACAACAAAAAAAAAATAAAAATAAAAATAAAAAAAAAAATAAAACAAAAAAATCTGTAAAGTATTTTACCTAGAACTTCCTCCAACTTAAAAATTGTAAAAACAGGGAACGCCTAAGTACTTAAATTGTAATAATTTAAAATTAAACCACCAAACAAGCCCTTTTTCACATTTCTTTCTCCATCGATCTTCCTCTTGATCCCACCCGAATTCTTACTTCCCGTTCACAACTGGTTTTGAGCCAGAAAAGAATCTGCATACAAAATTTGAAGTTTTTCTATAAAGCCATTTTTGAGCTATCATCCCAACAGACAGAGAGACCGACGGAATGGGGAAACGTATTTTTCGTAATCTAGGGACCCTAAAACGTGAAAATCTGAAATATCGGAAGGTGATTTTTTCACGATTACAATACTTCCCTTTTATGGAGGGAAGTAACAAAACAAAATGGAAAGGTTTAGGTTTTTATTTCACTATAAAATAGAGTTAACGTTCATGTAGGCCAATTTTCAATGGGCTATAACAACGCATCTGAATTATCAATCTTATTATCGAAACCAATAATAATGATGATTTATCCTTTTAATTAAGCATTTAAAAGAAAATTGGAATTGAAAAACCATTTTTAAGGACATTTTCCGCCTAGATTCACCCTATAGAATAACTACACATTGTTACAATGGTGCCAAATATTTTTAAATAAAATGTGTTTTCTTTTCATAATGCTTCAATTACTTCAGTTGTTTGAAATTTTTGTTCTGTCAAGTCTTATTTAAGACGGAATTTGCACGCCAGGAAATTCATAACAAAAACTACAAATTAACTAAGTTGTCAATAGATGGCGATTAGATGCACTTCTGCGAAATAATTCAAATGTTGAATTATACCTGCCTGTTTGCCAAGTTGTGTAAACTACTTTCCGGCGACCCGACAAGCGTCCCCTCTCTCCCAAATCTAAAGTGCTCGTAACATTTTATTGTACCGCCGGACGAGACAAACACTACCTACAACATTAGAATATCTATCTAACCTATAGGGACCGTATTTAAATAATTCTATGAACCAGAATAAAACTTTTAGAACAATGTAATATAAACATTTGAATCTATTTTGGTTCGTATATTATTAAGTAGTTCTTTGTTCATCCAGTCTGAGCTTATTTGTTAGTTATCATTGTTTTGTTTTGTGTTTTTTTAGTAGGCCTTAAGGATAAAAGCATAATCTATTCGCTCCATTATTTAACTATCATGATTTAAAAAGCAGTGAAGCGATTGATACTGTTGACAGTTTTAAGCAAAACATGTTTGACGACGGTGAAGACGGCCAATAATAAGTAATAGTAATAATAATAATTCATTTTATTGACCTTAAATTAACCATTTACGAAAAAATCTGATGTGTCCAACACATGACTTTCCTATCTAGTTATTACAGGCTTTTCCCGATTATTTTGTACAACCTATTGCAGCAACTCTGTAAATGTTTAAAGGATAAACTAAATATATACATTTACATACATCTAACTCGAAACATTTTTCGATATATATTCACTGCAAAGGAAAACACTGAAAAAATTTAATTTTACACTTTTCCTCCAGTTTTTCTATTACGGTCCATTTTAGAGAAATAATGTAAAAACAAAAATGATAGAGATCGATATTGCAAACAACTTTTAGTTTACCAATTTTCTTAAAAATCAGAATTTGCACCTTTTGTCAAATTTCTCGAATACGGTCCATTTATGGAAAAAATTGTATAAAGTGAGAATTATAGAGAATAATATTAGAAGTAACTTTTATTTAAAGAATTTTCTTCGCCAAACATAAATAACAGATATATTCAGTAGTAATACTATAAGTACTTCAAAATAATCAGGTTATACATCGATAACTTGTTGCATAATTATAAAGAGTGTCAGTTTGACAGTTTAAATAATCCGACCGCGAAGCGCTAAAATTAAAAGTATCACAATAAACAATCATATATGAATTCCCCATAAAATTATCTATTTAATGATGTGCCGTACAGGGTACATTCCCTATTTAAAATTGAGGGATTGGAGAAGTGGACAGATGTCTGAATTGTAAAAATATGTTCAATTTAGAATAAAAATCGACCTAGGGTGACAGTTTTGCGTGACCCACTCTGTATATTGAAAATGGCTAGATTTATCGAATTAACTCATAGAACAAAATCTGCCTAAAAATGCATTTTTTACAAGATATGCTATGTAAGAAAAATCCTCCCATCGAAAAAAAATATTGAGCGCAGCGCCATCTACATGTTGACCAATTTAAAATTAATTTATATCTAAAACTGAAGCTCTCACGGTGCTCTGTGAACTGGATTTTACAGAATTAAAATATTTCTATTTCTTACCAAAATATCCGGCCTGGGAGTTTTTATTGGTATATATAAAGTTTCTGACATTTAGTTTATTAGGGAATATAATGATGTTGCAATTATATTAAATGCATAGGGTACCGCTTAAATGCACTCAAGCGGTTTAGGTTTGTAACCAATTTTACTACTGCCTATCGAAGTAAAAAAAAAACTTATTATTATTTATTTAAAATACACATCGACAACTACAGGAAGTTTAAAATATACTATCAGTAAATTTTTATCGACGCTACCCTTTTTATTTTGTTGCAAAACCACTTAATGCATTGTCCAGAATTGTTAAAAAAGAACTGACACCTAATTATTTTTCTATTTCACTCTTCCTATTATAGGGGACATAACATTTTTAACTTTAACAATTATTTATTCGGCCTCCAGTGATATCTGAAGGGCAAAATATTGCTAAAGTACTTTATAAGTAGTAAAGTTTAAAATGGAGTAATAAAAAAATTAAGGATTTATATTTTTTGAATGTATTTCTGCTTCTAATTTCTTCATTTTAAGACGTTTCGATAGTATCAAATTATCATTAGGAAATTTTTGAATATGTTATGTGGTGTTAATACACTGCTACTTAAAAGATATATTGTGCCCCCTTCTGTCGCTAATGTACCAAGGAAATGT